AAGTAGAAAAAAAAAGACAAGATATATATAATTAATATTTTATATTATATTGTATATAAGTTATAGCCTATAGCAGATATAACTGTACAATAGAAAATATTTATATATTAATAACTACATTATAGTTATTAATATTATTTATATAATTTCCTGATGCTGTTTTATTTAATAAGTTAGTTTAACTTTTTTTTTTTTTATTTATTTTGAAGGTTAAATCTCAAATTTCTTTTACTTTTGACGTTTGCAAATAATAAAGTATAAGATTATATATGACTGCTGTAATTTGAGATTATTTGTATGTCTCCACTAAAGTAAATTCCTGATTATGCCATTGATCTTTATTATTTATAAATTTATAAAGTTTGAGGTTGTTAGTATATTCAGTTTTCCTAATTATTATAAACAGATAAAATAAAAATCGAAAAATAATCTTATTAAATTAACAACAAAACAAAATAGTAAAAATAAGAATTAAATTTATCAATTAATCATATAACAAATGATTTTCCATCATTTTATTATTATTTTTTCTTTATACAAAATTATATATTTTTTTTAAATTTTAATGGAAAATGTACTAGACTGACATCTATTATCAGAACTAATAATTAAACTGTCATATAATTTTCACTTCTTTGTAGCATAATTTACATACAAGAATGTCAAATTTATAATAAAAGTAACAAAAATATTTGAATGTAAAATAAAATCGATATTAATTAAAAGTCTATTCAAATTATTCAAAATTATGCGTATTTTTATTAAGATTTTTTTTCTTATTATACTACATACTGTAAGTGTAGTGACAGGCGCACAAAAGAAACTGTAAACGAATTGTAAAAAATAAAAATAAATAAGTAAATAAATAAATAAACACATGAGCTAATTTTACTGAAAAATACAGATCCAGTGTTCTTTTTTAACAATTCGTTCAGTAAATATAGGCATAGAATAGAATAGAGGAAACATATCCATGCCTTAACAAAAAGCATTAAACATTAATAAATGAAATTTAACAAAAATAAAAATACCTTTACTTTCTGAAATGTATTTTTTTTACATATATAATAACAAATATATTTGCGATTGCGCGGGCGAAAAGAAATAAGGACAAACATTAAAATTAAAGTCCAGTTATTTTAGGACAAATCAACAGAATCAACAGAATTATTTGGACGAAGCTTTCAAATCTAGAAGATCCTACATTCTAAGATCATTACTAAGAATATGACTCATGGAACGTATGGCGCTTTCGTTAATTATTACTCAATGCTTACTTACATAATTCATTAAATTTAAATTATCATAAAGTATCAAGGGAAAGAAATCAAGGAGAGCCTACATTTTCCGCAGGATCCAGAGGCTAACTATGAAAAATTTTGTCCTAATCAGTCAAAGATTTTAGAAATGTATAGTAAACAGATATACACCAGACGTATAAGTCTTTCTAGCTTAATCTACAAAACAAAAATCTATACAGAAATCTATTTCATACCCTCCCTTAAGATAGAACATGAACATGACACTATAGTAAAATAAAAAGTTATACAAAATCTTATAAAATTATACAAAATATGAGAAAAAATATATTAAAAAATAATAATTTAATTTATGATCAAAATTCTTTTAGTTAATTTTAGAAAAAGAATATTAATAGCATAATAAATATTCATTAACATACAAGTAGTAATATATATATACGAGGATAAATTGATATTTAATAATCTAGAAATCATCCATCAAAGTTATGATAAAACCATTTTGATTGAAGTACAAAGCTGTGCCCACTAGTTGCAGAATAGATAAAACCATGAGCACTAGCCGGTTCGCACCTAATCCTGCTAGACACGTGGAGTTTTACAGACTTTCTTAACTTGTCTAATACTTACATAAGGACCAAATCCCCATAAAAGTCCGCCTGGAAGACATAATAATATCCCATTCTTCCGTACGTTGTATTGCCTTATACCATCAATCCAATCCAAAATGTGTTCAAGCAATATTCAAAGGTTTTGAAAGATATTTGTAATAAATTTTATTTTCATTATTTCCCTAAAATATATTTTTAAAAAATGATGTCTGAACTGTATCTTATCTAACTATAAGAAGAAGTATTAATTAAATTGAATTGACAAATGTCATATTTGTCAATTCAATTTAATTAATACTGCTTCTTATAGAATAAAATTGAAGAATTTTTACACGTTATTTATTTCTTCAAATCTTCATTGTTTAAGCCTTAGGGTCTATAAAAATAATACTCAGACATGACAATTCCGTAGACGTTAAAAGTTCGAAGACCATTGTGGCATACAGTCATTGTAACCAATACAATGGGCGCTTTACCAAATAACGCTCCCAACGTTTTTATATTTTAAAATAGAGAAAAGTATAGAAATATATACATACATATTATTTTAAAATATTAATTATATATATAATTAATATTTTATATTATATTGTATATAAGTTATAGCCTATAGCAGATATAACTGTACAAGAGAAAATATTTATATATTAATAACTACATTATAGTTATTAATATTATTTATATAATTTCCTGATGCTGTTTTATTTAATAAGTTAGTTTAACTTTTTTTTTTTTTATTTATTTTGAAGGTTAAATCTCAAATTTCTTTTACTTTTGACGTTTGCAAATAATAAAGTATAAGATTATATATGACTGCTGTAATTTGAGATTATTTGTATGTCTCCACTAAAGTAAATTCCTGATTATGCCATTGATCTTTATTATTTATAAATTTATAAAGTTTGAGGTTGTTAGTATATTCAGTTTTCCTAATTATTATAAACAGATAAAATAAAAATCGAAAAATAATCTTATTAAATTAACAACAAAACAAAATAGTAAAAATAAGAATTAAATTTATCAATTAATCATATAACAAATGATTTTCCATCATTTTATTATTATTTTTTCTTTATACAAAATTATATATTTTTTTTAAATTTTAATGGAAAATGTACTAGACTGACATCTATTATCAGAACTAATAATTAAACTGTCATATAATTTTCACTTCTTTGTAGCATAATTTACATACAAGAATGTCAAATTTATAATAAAAGTAACAAAAATATTTGAATGTAAAATAAAATCGATATTAATTAAAAGTCTATTCAAATTATTCAAAATTATGCGTATTTTTATTAAGATTTTTTTTCTTATTATACTACATACTGTAAGTGTAGTGACAGGCGCACAAAAGAAACTGTAAACGAATTGTAAAAAATAAAAATAAATAAGTAAATAAATAAATAAACACATGAGCTAATTTTACTGAAAAATACAGATCCAGTGTTCTTTTTTAACAATTCGTTCAGTAAATATAGGCATAGAATAGAATAGAGGAAACATATCCATGCCTTAACAAAAAGCATTAAACATTAATAAATGAAATTTAACAAAAATAAAAATACCTTTACTTTCTGAAATGTATTTTTTTTACATATATAATAACAAATATATTTGCGATTGCGCGGGCGAAAAGAAATAAGGACAAACATTAAAATTAAAGTCCAGTTATTTTAGGACAAATCAACAGAATTATTTGGACGAAGCTTTCAAATCTAGAAGATCCTACATTCTAAGATCATTACTAAGAATATGACTCATGGAACGTNTATATATATATATACATAAATTTAAAAATATACAAATTAAAATCTAACATATATATATGTATGTATGTAAAATCTAATATAAATTTTATATTAGATTTTACATACATGCATGCATTAGATATATGCATTAAGGATATCTACATGTACTTTGCTGGAATTTGTTGGAATTTATTGGACAAACAATGAGATTTTTACAAGACAAAAGTTTATCACGAAAAACAGTTTTATAAGAATGATTAAAATTCTTCAAAATCCTAAGAATTCGAATAAACTTTATGAGAAGAAAAATTAATATTTTTTTAAAATGAAATGGCTTGGTTTTACATGTTTATTTATTAAAATTAATTATATTAAAATATTTTTTGAATAAAATTTTGTTTAAAAGATTCTTAATAAACAATTAATTCGAAACATTTTCAGTATTAAACAAGAATCACGACTGAATTTTTGAAATTAGACGGTTAAAGAGAGTTAAGTAGAAAAAAAAAGACAAGAGATACAGACAGAAACATTGTAACAAATTTAATAAGGACGATGAATTAAAACCAATTATCCTATTAAATTTTTTAACAAGCTATAATAATTTTAGCGTAGTGGAACATATTTTTCTAATAGCAGTAACTGAATGATAAAAGGTTACACGTGACAACCATTATAAGTCGTTATTTGCTGTAAACCGAAGCCTGATAAGGTTGCACAGTCTCACCTTGTAAAAGTAAACATTCTCAGTTATAAATACGGAGTTACCTTGCAATAAAATTCAATATTTCACGTGGAGAGTCAAGATGATCTTGTTTATCTTTGCCATTTTGACAATCATAATTACATTACAGGTAAGTTAAACTATAATGATGGTATGATAAGTAATTCAGTCTTATTAGATTTTATATTACAGGTTAGCCAGACTTCAGTTATACCTGGTAAAGTTTTATTTAATTTTCTAAATATCAATATTAATATTTTATTACTTTATATAAGTCTAAAAATTAATTTTTTTCAGATCAACAAAATCCTCAAGAGTTACATCTAAAGAATGCAACCATTAAAGAATTTCCAAGTTCTGTAAGTTGTTAGTTTTCTTAATTATTATATTCCCAATATAAATGTTTTTTTTTTTTTTTTTTATTGTGGGCAATAAAAATTATTAGCATGTTGACAATCTTTTGAACTAATTTAAATTTATTCGGTAACTTTCTGGTTACTTTTTAATAAACTATTAGTGACAGTGTGAATTGCAGGAGTGTTCGCATATGTCGAAGTTTTATATTTAACTACAAACTAAGAAATTTAAGAGATAAGCATAAAATATCTGTGTCTCAACTTTTGGTAAAGTGAAGCATAGTTAGCAGATTAAGACTTTACAGTGGATGGCTTAAAAGTATTCTCAAGGTCAAATGGATATTAAAATGCATTTGTTTGCATAAAGAAATTACATTTTTACGATAATGTGCGTTCTACAAGACATGTGGAAGAACATCTCAGATGCTGCTCACAAAAAGTGAAATCTTGTATAATTGTAAAAATAGAATATTGTAAAATTAATATACATTTCATAATATTTATGCATGTGATAATTCACAAATGAAAGCTGCAGTTTTTTCAATTATATCATTTAAATATATATTTATTTCGGAATAATTTTTAATTTTATTTTGAATATGTATATGGATATTTCCATTTTAAAAGTATTGGTTTCATTTACTGATACTTATATTCTCTTATCTTTTACATAATGTTTAATTAAAACATTTTCATCTTACTTTTAAAGAAATATTTTAACTAAATATAAATTATAAAACATGAAATTATAAATTTTTCAGATTAATTATTTTGCATATATTTAATTGTGACATTTAAATAGGTACATTATAGTGCACCCGATAGAACAAGCGCCTGAATATAGAGATAAAAGTGGTAAGTGGAAGGGATATACAGGACAAGTTGTAAACCAAGTAAGTAAACATAAAATTCGAGTGTTTAAAATAAGTTAATGTGCAAAAAGCTAATTTTACAATCAAAAATATAAAAATCATACATAGATAATTTTTCTAAGCCACGGAAAATAGGCACATTAATGTAAATATACAGTACTGTATTACCATTCCACTACAACAATAAAACAAGGCACTCCACAATATAAACAGTTGTCAAAAATCAAATCGAGCGATATAGAGTAACGAACGTATATAACTGGAGATGCCATGTAAGTCACTGCATAATGTTGATTGATTGATAATCAACGTACAGTTATAACCAAACACGAAATGAAACCCAAATATAATGTGTTAGTATGCAAATGAAAGAAAAATTTTACAAATG